CTCCTAGCAAAAGAGGCTTACTTTTCACTACCCAGAATCTGTGATTTGCTGCTTAGTGAGTCATGCTTGTTTATGGTCTCCAAAAATTAGTAGCTTAATTTATTTCAAATGAAGCTCAGTTTCAGTTCACTCAGAGGTTCAGAAGTTGTCAAAATCCATTCTCCTGAGTTTATTTTCCTTATTACATCCCAAGAGAAACTCTGCAGCTCTGGGACGGGTTTGGGAGAAGATGGGGAAGATCAGTTGAAAATGGGTCCTAAGCCTTACTAAACCCTTGCCTTTAGCAAGCAACAGGAATCCCCCCCCTTCCCCAAATTAAAGAAAGTAACTCAGTAGGTACAACACACCTCCAAAGACGAAGGCCTTGGAGTCATGGAATTTATGGTATTTGAAAGGAGAACTTTTAATTTCTTATAATCCTTCGGAAGGTGTAGAGCAGCCATGGGGTGGGATTGCAACTACAATATGGTGACACCATCTTCCATACATTCTAATTTGTACATTTGCTGTTATAATGATGTGCAGCCACTCCATTCTCTCTATGTGTTCCACATGATTAGAGTGTCTGCTTTTAAATATTGTATAAAATGACAGCATTTCTTGCTGTGTTCTTTCTGGCTCTACCTTCTAAGGTAAAAATATAAAACAATAATGGAATATAAAACTGACTTTAAACAGTTCAATCATGTTAGATGTATATAATGACTGTTAATTTTTTTTAGTTTAAAAGCATTTGTGATTTGAGATGATACTTTAACTATATCTTGCTAATGGGTTTTCTGTGTTTCTTTCTTTCTTTCAATGTTACATTAATTTCTGAGCCATTCTTGGAAGAAAACTGAACCAGAGATCGTGATCTCTGCAGATAGGATTTTACTGTTAGCTTGGGAATGTTACAAACTGAACAGTTTACTATTGGGAGGTGTTGATCTAATCCTCCTGATTGCTTTTGAGCGTGATCAAATTTAATGAGTGCCCTACTTAGCATATCTGGTTTCTGATTTAATATTTAAAAGCCGGAGAAAGTGCTAGTTACATCCTCCTGGGACTAAAGTAGGTCTCCTCTGCATAAGTTTCCACAATGTCCCAGATTTGGACAGAATTACAAAATTTATCAATGCTTTTCAGACATGTAGCTCTAGCATTTATTCACATACTTGCTGTTAGAATGCACTGTGAAACTTCCCACCCAAGTTAAATTTGACTGGCTGAATGGTTCACTACAGACTTTATAGTGAAATAACTCAGACTCGTATGCTTTTGACTATAATTGTTATTTCCATGGTATATTAGAATAAATTCATTACACCAGTAGCTCTGATATTTATGTTGAAGTTTGCAGGAGAGAAATAGGCCCAGTTATAGAACTTCAAAAGTTGCATATCTGTGTGTTCAGTTAGCTGCATTAGGAACATGTTTTAGAAATAAACATAAGCCAAACCCCTGTGTTGAGTTTAACTGTATTTCATTATTTTTAAACATAAAAAGCTTAAATATAAAAAGCTTGTAACTGCTCTTTTCCCTTCAGTGGGGTGGTGGTGATAGTAGCTATATTAGTCTGTTGCAACAAAATCAGCAATGCTTATTATATTTAAATTTTGTTAAATATGAACAAATGTTATTTGATATAAACTTAAGTAAACTGAAGCTTGTTTTGTTAGGAGCATTTGATAAAGTGTGCTAGCTTCCATGTAACATTACTTCAAAGAAAAGTTGTTAGGTTTTAAGGTGTCATAAGTTTTGAATTTTATTAAGTTTCCCAGTCCCATTCCAACACTTGTGTCAGCTATCTTATACTGGCTTGGCAGCCTGTAAAACTACTCATCCTTTACTAATTTGGGTATACAAAAATAGGGAGCAGAAGACAAGTGAAATGATAGAAGAAGGCTGTTTAAATGAAAGATAGTAGGGGGATGTGATTCCAGGCTGTAGGACATAACCAAATAGTTACAGACGGTGTAGTCTGTTCTTGTAAACATGACTAGGGGATCTTACAGAAGTTTCAAATATATATTTTAAAACTGTTTGTACAGCTTTAGGGATTTATAATTTTAAATAGAAAATAAAATATTGAGGGTCAGGGAATCTGACATGAATTCTATAAACAATTCAGTACTGAATTTAGTTTATTATTCAGTGCAGTTACTGGAATTGCACTGAATAATAAACACTATTTGAGCCATATGGTGTAACCTACACAAATAAAGAGCAATGAGAGGTTTGATTAGAAGAACTAACTGGAGCATTAAACATGTATTGTGTGGAATTTTCCATTTTAGTAATGTGCTGCCTAGACTCCAAAATTTCATTTCAGATGAAATTAGAGGAGTGCTAATGCTGGCACCCCTGGCTGGGAAGCTAGAGGTCAGGAGATGGATTTCCCATTGTACCTTGTGGGAGAAAACCAAGCCTGTCTTGCCTTGGACAAGGTGCAGAGTACCAGAACTCCTCCCACAAGAAGCTAGAGGTCAGGAGATGGATTTCCCATTGTACCTTCTGGGAGAAGACCAAGCCTGTCTTGCCTTGGACAAGCTGCAGAGTACCAGAAATCCTCCCACAACTCCCCAAACCACTTCTGAGTAATGTATTTCTTGAAAGTCCTGAAAAGAGTTGCCATAGGTCAGAATTGACTTGATGGAACACAACTAATTAAAGTGCTTATTTAAAGTCAGGAGATGGATTTCCCATTGTACCTTCTGGGAGAAGACCAAGCCTGTCTTGCCTTGGACAAGCTGCAGAGTACCAGAAATCCTCCCACAACTCCCCAAACCACTTCTGAGTAATGTATTTCTTGAAAGTCCTGAAAAGAGTTGCCATAGGTCAGAATTGACTTGATGGAACACAACTAATTAAAGTGCTTATTTAAAGATGTTTGCAGATTGGGAAGTTATACCTTCTGGGAGAAGACCAAGCCTGTCTTGCCTTGGACAAGCTGCAGAGTACCAGAAATCCTCCCACAACTCCCCAAACCACTTCTGAGTAATGTATTTCTTGAAAGTCCTGAAAAGAGTTGCCATAGGTCAGAATTGACTTGATGGAACACAACTAATTAAAGTGCTTATTTAAAGATGTTTGCAGATTGGGAAGTTATGACACTGAGAAAGTCCTGAAAAGAGTTGCCATAGGTCAAAATTGACTTGATGAAACACAATTAATTAAAGGTGCTTATTTAAAGATGTTTGCAGATTGGCAAGTTCTGACACTGAAGGGGGTCTGAATGAGCCTTGGTCTCATTCATATTGAAATTGTATGCAATTAAGTGCCAACTATTTTCCCTGTTTGCTTGAATCATATATTTTGCTGCCTTTGGCAGTGTTCCTTAACTATTCCTGTTTTATCTGCAACTTGTTTATTTGTTTCTATTGCCTTATTTGTGAGGCAGATTATGTATACATCTAATAATCCCATATTGTAGTCTTCATTTAAGTTTCTCTGTTTGGTTTTTTAATATTTATAACAAGTTTTGAAATATTTAAGCCAATTAAAGTATGTAAAAAACATAACTGAGGGATTTATATACTCATATACTTTCAGATATACTGTCGGAGTTTATACTTCAAACCAATATTTTAATTAACAGATTTTTAAATGTGAAGGCTCTTTTGCTACTTTTCGATTTTTACTGAAATAAGAGTGCGGTGGTGGGGGGAGACTCCTGATGGCTTTGATGGGCTTTTAAATTATTTGGAATTAAAGTCTATTTCCTCAGTGGAAACACTAGGACATACATATGTATATGTACATATTTCATCAGTTCTTTCTCTGCATTCCATTGGGATCTCTTGAGGACCACTTCAGAACATTCTCTTAATTTATACTCTGCAGTAGGCTGTGCTTACTGCAGGAAATGTAATCAGTGATCTACTTTTAAAAGTGTAGAATTCCTTTTCTTTAAAACTCAACAATCAATTTTTTACATTTTTTCGAAATGCTGTTAAGGTTTTCTTTTGATCAATTTTAAGACAGTAGAGGAAAAATCTAATTTGTTGCATATTAACTTCAACTGGAACTCTTGAAATGTTGCGTACAGTCGTGCCCCGCTTAACAATTGTCCCGCATTACGACAAATCCGCTTTACGATGATGTTTTTGCGATCGTAATTGCGATCGCAAAACGATGGTCTAAATGGGGGAATTTCGCTTAGCAGTGATCAGTTCCCTGCTTCGGGAACCAATTTTCGCTTTACGACAATCAAAAACAGCTGATAGTCGGGTTTTCAGAATGGCCGCCGGGTGCTTAAAATGGCTCCCCGCTGTGCTTAGGGACGGATTCCTCGCTCTACAGGCACAGAAAATGGCTGCCGTATGGAGGATCTTTGCTGCACCATGAGTTTTCAGCTCATTGGAATGCATTGAACAGTTTTCAGTGCATTTCAGTGGGCTTCTTAATTTCACTTTACGATGTTTTCGCTTAACAGCGATTTTCCTGGGACGGATTATCGTCATTAAGCGAGGCACCACTATATTAAAAAAATGAAATATCTATGCAAACAATACCCCCCCCCCCGTGAGCTAGTAACTGAGAGTTCTGTTGGTGTTTTGTAAGTTTTTAATAATTACTGTGCATAATTGCACATGTTGCACAGTCAGGCACATAACCATGCACATAACTAAGATGCCCTGGCACCTCATCAATTAGCCACGGTAAGCTGTAAGAAGTTATGCAAACCTTTTGAGAACACCAGTAGGATTCTGACTACTAATTGTATGAATTGTGCATATAGATGAAATATATAGATCCATAATTGTTTAGAGCAAGAAATGTAGGTACTACAAATCACTCAAACCTTTTTGAAGTAATTTCCCTTCACTAGTCTAGAGCTTTTGGGGTGAGTCTTTCGCTAGTTTTAGAGTATCAATACCTGAATCAGATTCTTCTTTCCTACTCATGAAGCTAAAATGTCTATAGCTAACATGGCTGTTATTTGAGAAAGAATGGACAAGAAGCTAATGAACAGACTCCCTCTCCACAGTCAATTTTAATGCATTCTTCTTATTTAGATCACAGATCTTTCACTACCAAACTACCTGATGGCTTCTTCCATTGGATTGCTTCCAACTCAGCTCTTAAATTCCTACTTGGGGACAACGTTGCGAACTATGGAGGATGTTATTGCAGAACAAAGTGTTAGTGGCTATTTCATTTTTAGTTTACAGGTGAGTGATCTTGGTTTTGCTTTATTAGGCCGTATTCAGCAATTTGTTTTAAAAAGCTTTGGCATATTGGTTTAAAGCAAAAGTCAGGCTCTCTGTTCAACATAGTTAAATATGCTGAGTTGTGTCTTAAATAATGAAGGCTTTCAGACTGTAGGTCTCTAGTATAGGGGTGGCATTATGTGACTTTCCAGTTGTTGGTCTGCTAGTCACACTACTGTTTTGGCTGTGCTGGATATGGCTGATGAAAATAGAAATCCACCAGTATGTGGAAGACCATAGGCTGCTCATTACTGCTCTTAAGGATCATCCTGGACTGGTAGAAGGTGAGGATGGGAGAGACTTCAAACTAATTCATCCCATGTGTGTATACATACACAACATGCAGAGGGTTTTCTGCACCCTTAGAAAGTGATTGGCAGGGAAACAAAGGGCTTCAGAGGAAGGGAAAAAAAATAAGCTACAGTCATTTATCTTTCTACTTATGGGACTGGCCAAGATCTCCTCTTCAGTCCTAAGCTGGGGAGTGGTTAACTCACTCTCCCCAAATGTTTGCACAGGGGAACATGTCTTAATAGTCTCCTTGCTCTTCCCTCCAACTGTGACAGGAAGTTGTCTAGGCATGGGATTTCAAAATTTGTGGACTGAAGTTTGTCCGTTAGGCTCTGCATAGGAAGTATCTCGAAAAAGCTATCAGACCCATATCCCCTTGTAGTTCCCACACAACCTAGCCCCATCCATCCATTTCTCCTATCTTTTGCTCAGGTTGAAAATAGCTGCTGGAGTCTGAATCCACTGACTTAAACACCTGTCAGTATTTTGTTTTCTTGATGCAAGTCCCAAGAAGTTTAGCTGGAGGAATTCCTGAAAACGTCTGGAGGCTGTAGTATATGAATTCCAGACATTCCATGCATAAAATTGGCAGTCCTTGTGTGGCCCACATCTCTGCCTGTAGGTCTTGGAGGCATTAAGATAGCCTACTCCATCTCCATGGTCGTATTGGAGTGGAAGTTGTTGGAGTGGAGTTGGGAGAGCAGTTGTATCTCCATTCATCTATGGCATCCCTCAGCTAGCTGAAGCAAGAAGGGTTTCTTTTGGTGGCTCTGGCTCAGGCCACTCTGGAGCCTCCACCCAGGTTCCCTTTCTTTTTCTCCTCAGCCTCCCAAGGGTTTTCTGGCACAATTTTCTCCCTTCTCCAGTACAGTATCCTTCCCTCTGGAGCCAGTGTTTTCACCCATTTGCTTTCACTCATGGCCAGAATCTTGCATGCAGGGGGTAGAGCCTCTGTGCAGTGCTTTGGAAAATTAGAGGGAAACTCTGCCCTGCCCTGCCCTATCCTGAGCCCTTTGAGTCTTGATAGTTCTTGAAACTTCTTTGCCCTTTGGACACTTGGGGAGACTGTTCTTGAGATCCTTCTCTACTTCCATGGTTAACCCTGAAGGAAGAAAATTTGTTTTCATCACCATCCTCCATGAATAAAGTTAACCATAGGGAGATCACCCAGGGATTGACTAATATGGAAGGCCCTGGGATCAACCTGATACTGGGCCCCTCTGGGACCCCTCCATACCATATCTGAACTGTGAACACAGTTGCATCCTTGTGTCACTGGTGGGAGGATTCAGTATCTGAGAAGGAACCCTGCATGGCAGAGTCTGAAATCATGTATTTTCAGAAAAAGTTGTGCTGTTATTCTTTCCTAAGAAGGATCTTAGAACCCAGTTTAGGCCAACAGAGGGAAATTGTTAGAAGAATTATTGTAAACAAGGTGCCATGCTCTGTTGGATTCTTCTGCGCCTTTATTCTTGCTATAGTTTATAGATTGCCATATTAGCGTTCTACCAGGGTTGTTGGCTACTTGGCTAGGTAGCTGGGAAGAGTTCTTAAAACACTGTCATTTCTCTTTTGAAAAAGAGCAAGAACTCTTTGTATTTTGTTTAATTTTGTAGGATTTCCCCCCACATTTTTATTTATTTAATTTATTTATTTGATTTATATGCCCATCTGGTATATTCCACCACTCTGGGCAGCTATATTGTGGCGTAGTAAAATATTTGACTGAGTGCATGGATCCTGTAGTTTTCCATAAGCTGTCCAAATCTTGATTATGCTCAGCTAAAAGAATAGGAAGGTTTAAGTCACAGAAAGAAATTAGGATTGAGATTGGGAACACTTTAATCTTTGAAAAAGCTTGCGATAATGAACAATTTTCATATGGAATTTTAGAGGAACTTTTCAGGATGTGCTACATTCGAACACACTTGCAGTGGGCTCAAAATTAATGTAACACTACTGAGGATCAATATTTATGAATGCTAAGAAGCATAGTATTGTGCAATACTTTAGTATCCTCAGGGCCTTTCCCTCTCCTCCTGTTGCTTTGTCAGGAGAACATAATCAACTTAAACAAGTTTTATCTGCTGCTTGCTGTAAAATTTAAGCTCCTTGGAAATACTGTAAACACTTTCACCTGAATTTGAATGTTCAAGTGCTTCACCTGGTTGTCACATAATCCTTAAAATAAGGCAATAAGAGATCAATATTGTCTTTGTATAAAATTAGTAGTGTGTAAATATGCATTTCTGCCTCAGTGAAATAAATGGTTTGAACTGACAGCATTAAGATTTAAAGTTCATTCTTACAATCAGATACAATTATTTTATCAGTAACTGAAAAGAATGAAGTCCTTATTATTTGTATCTCTTCCTTGCCCCTCCCCTTTCCTGATAGCTATTGGGCACACGCCATGTCACATTATAGTGTCTTTTCAAGATAATCTTCTCTTTGCAGTTACTGATAAAATAATTATGTCGGATGATAAGAATGAACTTTGATTCTTAATGCCCTGTATTAAAACCTCATTGTTACCTACTGTTAAGTTCCTTCATACTTATGATGACTGTAATAAGGTTTCTGAGGTATGTGAGGTGTTCAAGGAATGGATTGCCGTTGTCGCTCCCCATAGAGTTTCCATAGCTGAGCAAGTATTTGAACGCAGGTCTCAGGCATCAACATTTACAGTAGTTACCAGCATTCTATCCACTACACCCCATGAGCTCTCAGTAGCTTGTAGAGAGACCTAAAATAGGCTGTTAAAAGTATCCTTTCCCTGATGATGTTCAGTATTTTCGCTGTTTTCTTTTCCAGTGCTGGAAATATTAAGCAAGTACTTCTGTTTTATTTGCAGATTATAATAAGTATAGGCCTCATGTTCTATGTTGTCCACCGGGCTCAAGTGGAATTGAATGCAGCTATAGTTGCATGTGAAATGGAAATGAAGACATCGCTTGTTCAGAGCAGTCAACCGAACAACAGCAACTCAGCATTTTGCAACAAGAGGACGCTTGCATTTTCAGGAGGAGGAATCAACATTGTATGATCTCCTTTTCCTTTCAGAAGTATTATATTAAAATTCTGTGAACCTAAAAGTCTAGCTATTGACAGACATTTTTCTGGACATTTCAGCAAGACTTCAGTCCCAAACAGCTGGATGACATACTATAGTACAAATCACCCTGGTCGTTTTAAGTTGCGAAATGGGTGACTTTTGTAAAGATCAGTCAATGGCTAAATAATTTTAAATGTAGATGAAAGTCTGGCTGCACCTTTCAACATTATTATTATAATTGTCATGGCCTGTAGTCTGCACTTTAGGTTTTGTTTTGTGTTTGCCTCTACAGACAGATAAAAATATTCTAAAAGCAAATATTTTTTTCTGCGTAGCATTATTTATAAGGCTAACTAATAATATACAGTAGATCTTTAATACTGAGGAACAAGTGTAATGTATGCAAATTCATGTGCAAGTACTCTTGAATGTGCTTAGCTTTCAAAATTTCCAGAAAGATGTATTCTCCCTTCAAAATTAGGGAGGCATCCAGTACAGAGAAAGTCCCACTTGTAAGGCAGGGGAGGAAAAACAAGCACTTCCTGAGGAGGAGGGATATCTCTCTGTATTTAATCATCTTCCTGTCTGTGACAGGTTAGAGGGTTTCCCTGTGGCACGGGGGCGGAGGGTGGGGTGGGAAATTGCTAAAAATGAAAGGGGAGTTTTTGCTACTTTGGGAATCATTTGACTTGCTTACTGTTTTTTTTAATTTAGGGTGGGGTGAGGAGGGGAAACACCATATGTATATCTTTGGTTGAATGTATTTTTGTAAGCCACTGAAATGTGGAGCAATTCTTAATTTTTCACATGTATTTAAATCCTACTTTGTTGGGACTAAAGTGCTCTTATATAACATTTTAAGTTACACTGTGTAATATGCAAAGTAAAAGGGAAACTGCAGAGTACTTAAATAGATTGTGGCAAACAGTGGTCTGGTGGAGACCTTACAGGTGAAGTGCAAGTTTTTGACTTGACTTTATCATCTTTGTGAGTAACAAAAGGGCTCTTCCATTATAATTCTATAATTCAGAAAACCTTTTGAGGGGTCTAGACCCACTTCTCTTTGTAAGAATTATAAAATAGGAGGAGTAAACCCTCTCTGAAAATATGATGGTACTAATAAATCATGTGGCCTTTATTTTATAGGGAAGACCTTTTGGTTTTTCTTTTGATAAAAGCTTTAAAATCAACACAGTTCCTCCCTAATACACATTTCTCTGATCATGAACAGATGCTCTTGATGTATGTGTTTTGCGTAGTACTCCTGAGACTTGTACCAATGGAGTGTTGTGAAGACCGTATCTGTCCCTTTTTCTTTGCACATATGTTGAAGATTTGCAAAAAAGACAGGTTTTCCATCTTTAAAAAAATGACAAGAAAAGGGCAGAAATGTCTGAGGCTCAGGAATCAGTATGCATTTTTAAACATATTATTTTATGATGGACTCTCTGCAGTTGCTTCTTTGTGGGTTCGAATGGACTGGAATAAAAGTGTAACTGTGCTTTGTGTGTGTCAGTACCATACTTCTGTACAGATATGTGTTTGTATTCCTGAGTTAGAAAATATATTCTCCAAAAATACTTTATAGTAATTGGAACCAGCACAAAACTACTTTGCATTCAACCTTTTTTTTGTCTGCAGTCTTAATTAGTTTCTGCTAAAAAATAAAGTACACTTCTGACTCTTATTACTCTGTGTTACTTATTCCTCCCATCATACTTTATCTTTTTATAAGATTGTAATCAGGATGGATAGGTTTTGTGTGTGTTTTTTTTTGGGGGGGGTGTCATTTATTTGTAAACTGCCAAATCTAGAAGATAAGTGCTGCAGCCTGTAACTAGCTAAGGCCAGCTAAGTCCATTGACTTGAATGGGATCAATGCCTATTAACTTTATATTGATTTGTGGAAAAGTGCTTTCAGGGCCATTGTTAATCCAGGATAGTTTTATATTGAGAATATACTATGTTTACTGGGGAGCTGCATGATTTAAATATGCCTCTGGTTATATTACAGTGATTATCTTGGCAACATTCATTTTGTTAAATCCATTGATGTCTCTGGAACATTTTGCAAGTAATTGTTTTGGGGAGTTGAACATCATTCTTTAAATCTACATTATCTACATTACCTTGGTAGTCTGAATACTAAGGGTTTAGTAACTTTGGTGGGGTACTGTTTTATGGTGATATCTTTATTAATAAGATTTTTAGTTTAAAAAATAATTCCAGTAAGTAACATAGATATTGTCCCACTTAAGGTTTCACTCATGTACGTATGTTGACAGGACACACTGCCAAGCTGTATTAATCAGTTTTAGTTCCATTATGTAACCGGAATAATTTCGCAGTATAAACATTGCTGACAGAATTATTTCCTTGAAATTTCTGAATGTTGGGTTTTACAGGTGTACAAGTTAATGGAAAACATGCATAAGCTTTTCTGTATCTTGCCAGTCATTTCATACAATAAATGTTTATTTAAATAAATATATGAATATGTATGAACTATATTACAGTAATTTTATTGCTGCTTAAAAAGAGGTATGCCAAAAGAATGAGCACACAGAGGACCAGAAATCAGATTACAGTAATAAATAATGGCTCTGCTGTTAACAACAGCAACAGTAAATGCACAATCTTATATCAAGGGCTTATATGAAGATTTTCTCAGCAACTATATCTTCCAGGATTAATCTGCAATATGCTAGACTGATAATTTAATATATCTGCTCTCTATAGTAGGTCACTCAGATTATAAAATATGAACACTATTTTGTATGAAGTTATGTTGTATCAAGTTAGACCACATTAGTATTATATACACCAGGAGAATGGGGAAAACGTGGGCCTCCAGATGCGCCCAAACTCCCATCAAGTCTAATAACGTTAATGAGGTAAAATGCTGGGAACTGGTCCAACAACAATTCAAGGGCTCATCCCAATATATACTAAATGGATGTGATTAGCTTTATAAAGAGGCTTCCAGAGAAGAGTGTTTCCTAACCCTAACTTGGGACGCTGGGGATAGAGACGTGTTATATCCAGGGCTTGAAAAAGTTAATTTATCATATAAAATATTAGCCACAATAGCATGGGTGAGCAGAGTTTGTGTTGCTCCAAGTCCTTTTTATGGCTGACCAAGTGCCTTCCAATCCTGTCCAGAAATACAGTACTGTATACTTTTTTAAAACTGTTGCAGTTTGCAATGATAACTCTGAGGAGCAACCTCAATAAAGCTAATTGCAAGCCTTTTTATCAGTGTTAACCTGAAGAGGAAACAAGTCAATTGCCAGGTGTCTCCCTAGCATATCTCTTCTCTTAACCTTGGTTGTTTATTATTTTGTTATTAAGAGATTAAGAGTTATATATTCGCGAAGGCTTTCACGGCCGGGATCTAATGGTGGTTGTGGATTTTTTGGGCTCTTTGGCCATGTTCTGAAGGTTCTTCCTGACATTTCGCCAGTCTCTGTGGCTCGCATCTTCAGAGGACAGCACTCTGTGCTCTGGTGTAGTTGGCTTGAGAGTGCCAAGGGAGATTAAGAGTTAATTGTTATTTAAGAGGTTTAACTCTGGGGGACTTATAAACATCACAAAACTGTAGAGCTGTGACTATTCCCTTATTAAAGTAAAGTGAATAAATACTTATTTTAGTAAATAAATTCTATTTAATTAATGATTGTTGAATGACTTATTCCCAATAAATTTTGTTTCCATAGAATGCATTGAATTTTATGAAATAAAAATAAACTTTAAAATATTAAAAGTCTTTTAACATGTGTTTATTAGTATGTGTACCTATATTTGGGGTCAAGAATTCATGTGCATTCCAAAATTAATCAAAGCAATGTTAAAATTACAGGTAAAATCTTTTCATTTTTATATAGATTATACATTAAATACATACTTGAGATATAAGTATATATTCATTTGATTATATTTATTACATAATGGTTGATATCCAGTGGTAACTTTCAACCAAAGTCACTACTGTGTTTCCCTGAAAACAAGACAGGGTCTTTTATTAATTTTTGCTCCAAAAATCACGTTAGGGCTTATTTTCAGGGGATGTTGTTTTATTTTATTTTTTTCATGTACAACAAGCAACATTTATTCAGTCATGTCATCTTCTTCTGGTAGTTGCACAATGGTGGAGTTCAGGGTTTCACTTAGCTGGGGCTTATTTTGGGGTTAGGGCTTATATTACGAGCATCCTGAAAAATCATATTAGGGCTTATTTTCAGGTTGGGTCTTATTTTGGGGGAAACAGGATAGAGATGGCCCATTGAATCAGCAAAACATAAGGAGGAATTGACTCATCAAATTTGTAGTTGCATCTTATTGGTTTTCAGCCATTATTTTTACATATTGTAAGGTAAAGTTAAAGGTTCCCCTTGACATTTAGTCTAGTTGTGTCCGACTCTAGGGCGCGGTGCTCATCCCTGTTTCCAAGCCATAGAGCCAGCGTTTTGTCGGAAGACAGTTTCCGTGGTCACGTGGCCAGCGCGACTAGACGCAGAATTCTGTTACCTTCCCACCAAGTTGGTACAGTGGATCCTCTACTTACGGAATTAATCCGTATTGGAACGGTGGCTGCAGGTTGAAAAGTCTGTAGGTCGAGGCTCCATTGACGTACATTGCATTGAAAATTGATTAATCCATAACTGACCGTTTTTGTTCCATTTTGTTTTTTTCCCGGTCTGTAGGTCGATTCTTTGGCTGCAAGTTGAAACTAAATTTTGCGGCCAGAGAAGTCTGTAACTCGAAAAGTCTTTAAGTGGAGCCGTCTGTAAGTCGAGGGTCCACTGTACCTATTTATCTACTCGCATTTACATGCTTTCAAACTGCTAGGTTGGCAGGAGCTGGGACAAGCAACAGGAGCTCACTCCAGTGTGCGGATTCGATCTTCCTACTGCTGGTCTTCTGACCCTGCAGCACAGAGGCTTCTGTGGTTTAACCCACAGCGCCACCATGTCCCCAAATGTACATATTGTAACAACCTTTAAATGTTTGTTGATTGTATTATGATGCCATAAACTGTAATTCGTCATTTCAGTCACATCCCTTTCCATGTCAGCTATTCATACCACACCTGAATACCAACTGATGAACTGTGACCCAAGATTGAAATAGAATCATAGTGTTACAACACTTTATTACAGTGTGTGTGCATATGTGTGGGTGGGTGGCATACTTTTGCCAGAGCACCTGAAGAAGGCAGAAGCTAAAATGTTTTGCTGAAATATTTCTTTTGGTTATTCACTCTTACAAGTGTCTACAAACTTGGAGCTGCATGATACGTTTTGTTTTCATTACACATCATTGTATATTTCTTCCCCAAAGCCCTAGTCTTCTGCCTCATCATGACATGGACATCTACCTGAACTTGGAGCTGCATGATACGTTTTGTTTTTATTACATATTGTATATTCCCCAAAGCCCTAGTCTTCTGCCTCACCATGACATGGACATCTACCTCGGCTCTTATGCAGATGAAAAATATGGGTTCTAATAAGCTGTCAAGTGATGTGTTAGCCATAACAGCTGTGAAACATAATGTTGCTGTGAAATAGTTGCAGTCATATGGGGATCGAGGTGTTGCTTGTGTTGATAAAGTCTTAGCTCTTCAAAGTATTTCAGCTCTATTCACTCTTCTGGTGCACCAAGATCAGATTACAGCAAGGTCTACTATCTTGAGGGCCTAGCAGTGTGGCAGACTGGTGAGAAGGCAGGATCTTCCAAATTTTCCTTCCCTGTTGTAGACAAACATGCAAATGTGCAGTAGTTCTTACTTCAGAGATTGTTGTATCATGTCTGATTATGTGCTTACTTTCTGCACATTTGTTGGTAATGTGCACAAAAAATAAATAGAATGTCCACATTTTCCAGGCTGCCTAGAGATGGGATGTATGGCATCCAGTCCTTTTTAAATAGAAAGCATTGTTAGGGGCTTTTTTTTTCTAAATGCAGATGATGTGTAGGTTACATCTATGAAGGGTGGGCAACACCATTTCCAGTAGCTGCATGCAGCTTTTCCACTCATTTGAATGCTCCTGAGCTTTCAGAGCCTCTAGGAATATTAATTGTCCTTTAAAACAAGGTGCAATTTGTTTCACCCGGCCTGAAAGGATGGCCATGCTGACGGGGGGATTCTGAGGCTAGAATCTTCTTCATCAAGGTGTAAGGCAATGTTCCACTGTTATAAATGTGCCAGATATTCTGATCCAGCAATAAGGATTGCGCAAAGCAATTATCTGATTGGTTGCATGGTTCCTTTTTTTGACTAATTGTGCAGTATGCTAACAGAAGTGCTTCATGGATAGCACTTCTGCCTCAGTGCAATTGGAGTTACTACAGGCATAATGTCAAGTTACGCTTGCATAGCTAAGCAAAGGATTTCATCCTGAGGGTTGTAGTTTGAACAAGTATAGCTTCCAAATTCTCATTAGTACTGTTTTTAGATCATTTGAATCTAGCATGATTCCTTGAGTTCTAGTATTCTTTATATTTTGTGGGAGGGGGCTATTTATTTCCCCAAATCCATTTGTAATGCATATTTCTATCATGTCCCTCAACCAGCTATGCTTACCCATGTTGGTTCTGTAGTGTCCCACTGAATTCAGAGGACTTACTGTTGATTTGATTATGTATAGGTCTGCAGCCTTAGTTATCTCTTCCCTGAGCTAAAAAATAAAACCCAAGCTTATTTAGCTTTCCGTTGT